TATGAATATAATATGCAAGTTTCACTTTTTAAATGGAATTACTGAAATAAATGTACTTTTTCATGATATTCTAATTTTATGACCAGCACCTGTATATAAAACATTCTTTTATACTTATGTTCATTTGCACTACAACAAAAATACTAGGTTTGATTAATAGTTTTCTGCAAAATAAATGCTCTAAAAATTACATTATCTTTGGTTTTTATGATAATTTTCTACCGTGATACTGTATATACCGTTACCGTGAAGGGATTCAATTTATACCTTGATATAAATTTGAGGTCATACCACCCAGCCCTACGGCAATGGTACAAAATAAGAAGAAAAACACAAAGACAATCACAGGTTCTCCAGGTGTTCCTAATGGTCAGTTTGGTGTATAGGCCCACATGTTTTTACCTCAGTCCTGTGAGCCAGCTGCCATCCAGTTGCTGTCTGTTTGTAAAGTTCCAAATAGGGGTCAGACTTCCCAAAGAAATCCTGCATCAGAACAAGAAGAACAGAATGAAACAAAAACACTTAAAGATCCTAAAATTAACAGCAGAGTTAATCATACCTTGTTGTCTAGCTTTCTTGCCTCCATCTCAAAATTTGCCACCCTGTTGTCTTTAATTTCTTCAGCACTGATCTACAACACAAAACAGTAATAATAAAAGAAAACTGTGATTAGAGATTACTTTAATCACACAGCTTTTTTTTTTTTTGTTGCCACTCACTGTGATTGTCCCCTTTCCTGCCGGCTTTTTGTTCTTTAAGATCAGAGGCCTGGTAAGTTTCTGACTGGATACAACCTAGAAGTGAATAAAACAAAACAGTCAGCATTCTGATGAAGAAAAACAACTGAATCAAAAACAGACAAATAAGTAGGATCAGCCTGAAGAACAACACAGCAGCCTTCAGGTCTCAAAGCAAACGACTCCTGCACACCTGGATGTTCCAGTGAACACTGGAGGTCACATTACAAGGTTCATCAGACATGAGCAACATGAGGAAAAAAAGAGCTTAATACAGCTGCATCTGCAACATTCAGTAAATTTACAAAGTGCACAAAATAAGAATTAAAAAAATAAGACAACAAAATGTGTATAAGACAATAAAATAAACAATAAAACTTGTTTAATGGCTGGGTTTTAGTGAAAACAATGTTGTGTTGTTCTAGAAGTGATGCAAACTTTACCTGACCCAGAGTGCACTCCAGTTCCCCCAGGAAGTCATCGTCAGTCAGGTCAACTGTTGCGTTGTCGATGTCATAAATCCCAAACTTCAGCTTCTGAACTATTTCAAAGTAATAGTCCACAACAAACTTTTTGGCAAACTTTGGACWGAGGCAATTCTGGATTTTCTCTGTACGACCCACCTGTTGGGAAACATTGGAAGCAGATGTGTGATGAAAAGTAGTGCTGAAAACATAAAAACAGTAGCATGTACAGACACACATKCAAACGGTGTAGAAATAGAAAACTAACTTCTGGGGGGTAATGATTAACACTGCTCTGGCAGAGTCAGTGACATCATGGGGAAAAGGCCACCCTCTTTTTCTGGTTTTGCATATTTGGAGATAATGAARCTGACCTAAACCTCAAGAGGACAAACTGCCTCCACTGCGTCATTATTTATTAAACAAAATCAAAACCATATTAGCAAACCTGTGTGTGAAAAAACTAATTCCACTCTTGCTGCTTCTGCAGACCTTAGGAGGTTCGTGCTCTGAAACATACAGTTGTGTGTTAACACAATGTCAAGGTCGAAGGACGCCAACAATAACTAACAAACCAGAGGTATATACTATGACTTCACTATAACTGTGAACTGGACAAAACTGTCTCCCCCAACTGTAGCTATGTTTACATGCGCAACATTTTTTGATCGGATTGAAATGTATTCCGATTAAATAATCTGAATGTATCGTTTACATGGGCACAATCAAGGCAGCAGGCTTTTATTCAGAACAGAAGCACTGACATGCGCAGAGTTGTTAACTTTGACTAAAACATAAAGAAGAAGCAGTTCTACTTCCATGATGAACATAAACAAACGTCTTCTAAGCACCCAGAACGGACCTGYGAAAGGATTTAATTACATTGCCGCGCTTCCTGGTTGAGCAGCAGATGATGCGCAGGTTTTTTAATTTATTTATTTATTGGTGGGCGAAGCAACACATGCTCTTTGTCTTCCTTTATTATTGAATGAGAAAACGGGAGGAAAAGTCCTGTGCTGCTGGAAACTCCCTCCCTCCACAAAAGAGCAGAAACCGGTGGATGAAAGTCAGCAGACATGCACAGTCAGGTCAGTTTTCCACGATCTGAATAAATTGATCCGATTAAGTGTTTACATGCACGTCATTCCGATTATCAATCAGCGTAACCCACCCCTCTCATTCGGATTAAAAATTCATTCAGATCGAGCTCAATCGGATCAGAATAATCTGAACGAGCCGTTTACATGACGCATTTTTATTTCGAACGGCCGTTTAATTCGATTACTTATGTCCACGTAAACGTAGCTAATGACCTTAGGGAWATAATTGTGCCCATCAATCTGGGAAGGGTCAAAGGGTCAAAGGTCATTTCCATCATTCTACAAAGAGAAATAGAAATATGGTTTGTTTGAAAAGGTTGCAGGAATATAAAAAACAGTTGGCAGAGCGGTCAGCTTTCAGTGTGAACGTTTCCAGACTAATTCCTGGCTGGGGACATTTCTGGATTAAGTCTGCATGTTCTCTCCTTGCAGGTGTGGGTTTTCTCCCACAGACTAAAAACTTGAATGTTAGGCTAACTGGGAAATCTAAATTGTCCCTAGGTGTGAGAGAGAGTGAATGTTTGTTTATCTCGTTTGTCTCTCAGTGTCCCTGTGATGGACTTATGACCTGTCCAGAGTGTACCCCGCCCCTCGCACAGTGACTGGAAAGAAAAAAGCAGGTAAAGATAATAGATGGACGACATTGTCTGTTGTTTGTTTTTGTACACTTGAAGTTAGATTTTTAAAAAGTCTGAAGTTGATAAAGACCAGATAATTTTTATTATGTAATGATATGCAAAACTCTAGAATAGGAAGAGTGTGGTCCTTCTTTATTCCCCCACCATAATCCCACCACCAAAAATGTTACAAAGTAAGATAATCAACATTTTAACATAGCCATATCAGTGTAAGCCCTTGTGTTAAATAAGCTTGTACCCGTTCATCCAACTGACCTCATACCACTGGTYGTTGGTGTTGCACATTGACAGGGCACACAGGGGGTCGGACATGGAGCCGATGTCTCTGTCCAGGAGTTTCTCACAGGACACAGTGAGCTCCACCTTGGTTACACACTGAGCAGCCATGTTTGACAAACTGGATAAAAGACAAGCAGGTGTTCACAAGTTAGCTGTGACTGTAGAAAATACTAGGTAATAAAAAGCCTCCAAATACATTTCAGGGCATTGTAGAAAGTCTTTGGAAAAGCTTAAGTTAGGTTACTTTATGTAGGTAGATTTGTTCAAAGCAAACATATCCAC